GTTCCATCAGACTGTCTCAGTAGCTGCAGGGGAGTCCAAAGTATTTTCTTTTTATCTCAGGTCTGTTTCTTAAGCTGCCAGTTAAATAGAGCTGTAAGCAGAATGAAGTATATTTGGGTTGGTTCGGTGGCAACCGAGCCCTACCTTGACACTAGTGCTTTTCCAAATGTGTTGTTATCTGCTCACTCATCTACCTCCCACTCAAGTAGGAGCTTCAAGGAGGCAGGGACTGTGTGTTACTCACTTTTTTCCCCAAATTTTTTATTGTGGTAAGAAACACATAAAACTTACCATCTTAACCATTTTTCAGTGTATAGTATACACATTCATCATAATGTGCAACCGTCACCACCTTCCATCTCCAGAACTTTCTTCACCTTGTAAAACTGAAACTCTATACCCATTAATCAATAATCCCGCATTCCACTCACCCCCCCATCCTCTACCTGCCACCATTCTGGTTTCTGTCTCTGTGATTTTGTCTCAGTACTTCATATAAGTAGGATCATAAAGTATTTGTCTTTTTGTGACTGGTTTATTTCATAACATCTTCAAGCTTCATCTGTGCTGCAAAGTATATCAGAATTCTCTTCCTTAAAAATTAATGTAAGAAATAAACATGTTGATTTAGGCCACTAAGAGGATGGGGTCATTTTTTATTGTGTCATAGCAATGCCTGTGCTGTCTAGCACAGCGATAAACTCCCAAAACAATAAGAAATCTTCCAGCAGAGCTCCTAGCGGCTTCTTTGTCATAAACCTTTATAGATAGCTTATGGACACCATGGTTTGGTCAACTAGGACCCCACAGGTTCATTTTCCTTCTTTCCATGTTTTCCTGGGAATTACAAGGGGACCGCAGCCTATAATGAACTATATAGCATTATAGTGAAGTTATAGAAAAACTGCATAAATGCAGCAAATCTGAGAGGTGGTGCATTTTGAGTCTGGCAAAAGATTAATTTGGTGGATATGTGTGGGGAGAAGCTACATATCTTAGGGAGAATAACTCCTGCAAAGCGTTAAAGGATGGCCCAACTTCTTCATTTCAGGCACCTAATGCTCATTCAAGTCCACCCTGTCTGCAGCCAGGTCTGCTCTCTGCCTATAGACAGTTCATAATGTGGTGCTCCAGACTCAGCTCATTTCAGAAATGTTGATATTATAACACACATAATATTTTCTCTACAAATGCACAAAAATACTTTTTCCCCTATAAATCAAATTAACTAGTTCTGAGTTCTCAGTCACTTCAGGGGGGTAAATAATTCTATCTCAGCCAACTTGGTCATCGTTTTCCCTAGAATTGAACATGAATTCAGGGGATTTGAGTGGCTCTCAGCAAAGGCAGAACAGTCTCTGTATCCTATGACTGCCTCTGCTGAGAAGCTCATCATCTGAACCCACAAAAAGGAGAAGCAGTTCTATCCTTTGCAGCAAATCACGTAGACACTTCCCCACAATCCTCAAGGCCATGACTGCCTGCAGCATCCATGCATTCTGCCCTCCAGAGCTCCTGTTACTTCAGAGAGGCTGCATGGAAAGAGAGCACAAATCTACATCAGTCACAGGGGAAGGCCACTTCTGCCTCCTCACTTCTTTAGAGAAAGGAATAGGAGCTTAGGTATTACACACGATTAAGTGTTTATTGAAAGGGAAAAATGCCGAGGCTGTGTAGCAAGTCTGCATTCTTGGACTTGCCTGGGAGCTTTCCTTTGAATCCATCTGAAGCTGATAAAAGCCACTTCCCTGACAGATTTGAAATGTACCTACAAAGGCCAAATGCCTGAGCTTCCCATAGTTCTCTGCCTCAGTCTCTGACCAGAGAGGTCTAATCTGCCTCTTCAACACAACTTTTAGAGAATCCCTAGCATGAACCTAAGCCCTGAGAGAATTTCAATGGCAACCTCCTCAACTTAAAGGATTTTCTTGATCCTGAGGTTGAACCTGTGTCAGTGGCTGAACCACCCCCCATCCCTACCCCAACAGTGGTGCCAGTTACAAGAGGTGATAAAAGATTTTTTTAAGAGGTGAAATTTTAGCTTGCGATGTAGCATTGCAAATTTTGAAGTACATGAGCAGGATGCCAACTGTAACAAATGAGAAGTACCATCCCCACCAAAGGGCAGGTCCAGCATTCACCAGGCCCAGTACATCTAGCACAAACCCCAGTCCCATTGGCTGGGAACTCTTGGGGAAAAAAGAGAGGGAGAGAGTTCCTGGCTTATATTTACTTCTCCACAGGGGCTGGAGCAGCCCTCTGACTATGGGCTCTTTAACCAAACTTGCCCCATCTAACACCCTCTGGGAGCTAGATGTTCTCTCTGTTGCTTTCCCTTTCCCATCTCAACCAGGACCTGGTGTTTTGTATCCAGATGAACCTCCCTGGAAGCATGCCTGCTGTGTAATTTCCACACAAATGACCATGGCACAGAAGGGTATGTGTCTGGGCCCTACCAGGGAAAATTTTAAAACTGCAGAAAGACATCTTATTGTTTATATTGCTAGATTTTCTTCCCTTTGGTGAAATGATCTTTCAAATTCCAACTTTGCCTCTGCTACAACAAAAGACAAGCCTTATCCCCACATCCTTGACAGAATCTGTGTCCAGTGGACCAGGAAGAATTTGTTGTAGCCATCATGACCCTCCTCTGAGGGTCAGAGTGGCCAGGAGTGGCAGGGCCCAACAGATGCTGAAAGGAGCTCTTTCTTGCTATGACAGAGACCATTAATCAACATGTGGTGCTGCTAAGGAAAGGGAGCCTGCCTCCTGCCTCCTAAGGGCTGGTCCAGGGTGGGCTCAAGCCAGCCTGACCCGCAGTCAACAGTGAGCATCTCTTTCTGGCTCTCTGATCAGGAAAGTCACATGGGCAGTAGCAATGCACTAGTTAGGAATAATAAGCTGAGTCACAGTTTATAGACCAGAAACCAGAAGCAAAAACAGGGGAATTTAAACAGTGAGGGCCAGAAAGTGGGCAATTCTTAGACTCTGGGGGTAAACACAAACACAAACCCTCAACCCCACCCTCCCAGGGCTGGCTGCTTTAATGTGGGAAGCCAGGCAGGGCTCTCAAACCAGCATCCTAACAATTCTCCCTGCAGGAACCCTGCACCCTTGCTCAGGCCCTTATCCATGGATCCTTTCCCTTCCACACTCACAGCCCCATGATCATACAATCACTGTTCACACTATTTCTCTGGAAATGGTCCCACATTCTTGTGCTATAACTTATACTTGTAGCTCAAACTTTCCACCAATTAAATGTGCCTTCCTCTCTTTGTACCTGTTTCCCTAACTCTTCATCTTCCCTACATTTTCCATCCTATTTCCCTCCAACTAAAGCCACTGCCCAAGGATTACATGCCTCAAATCCACTGTGACCTCGCCTCTCCCCTCCTTGGGAAACTTCTCTTTTCAAAGACTGCAGCTCCCTCTGACATCTCTCTTATCCCCCAAAATGGAACTAACCAATAACCTCAAGAAAGTAGAAAACAAACCAAGAATAAAAAAGGATAAACCCAAGAATACAGAGCCTTCCTTCATTCCCATTATAGAAAGATTAATAAGGTCACTAATTCAGACACATCTGAGGATCATAATAAGCACAGGCCCTGCCTCTCAAAACCTGGACGCTGGCAGTTAAGATCGGGCCAGAGAAGGCAGGACAGTTCATCTGTGTGAGCCGTTGACCTTTCTTCCACTGAGTATGGCTTCATGTGATTGCAAGTGTCATAGCTATCATGTGGTTACGTTTTTCTGATGATGGCATAACAAGTCAAAGTTGACAGAGACAATCTCTACTGATACAGATAGTGCTTTATTGTTTACATGTTTTCTCATTTAATCCTTGCAGCAACCCTGAGGTAGGTATTATTATCCCCACTTAACAGATAAGTAAACCAAGGTTCTAGGTTACATTACTTGCTGAAGATCATCTGCTTAATAGTGGCAAATCCACTGATCATTCCAAACCCAAGGGGACTCTTTTGAGTAGTTCACAGGCTGCTGCCAAGGAAAGTAGAGCTGCAGACTTCCACAGGGGAGGACTGGATCGTCATTGGCGTTCAAGGGAATCCCTCATTGGGAATGAACGAGGCACATTCACAGGCCAAGCCTGGAACTCAGCGGAAGCAGCCTAGAGCATCTGGGAGCTGTGAAGCAGCAAGAGGTCTTTAAGTTTGCTGAGAGTCAACAGTGTCTTCAATTATGCACAGAGCCCAGCTTCCAGGAATGGAGAAATCAAAGGCCACCCAGGAGACACAAATTCAGGGCTGGCCACAGCGTGGGTGCAGCAGGGTCAGGAAGAGCTGCTGCTGACAGGCACCGTCTCCTCTTGGCCAATGTGTGGTAACCTTAGGGTAGTGGTCCTTTAACCATCTTAAGGCCTTGAGAATCTGATGAAAACCATAAAACCTCTCTTCCCTCCCCACCCCCAGAAAAATACAGATACACAGATACAGACAACATTTTGCATACAATTGTAGGGAGTCCACAGACCCCAGGTGGAGAACTCCTGCTTTAGGGCAAGGGTGTCACCCTGAGTAGTCTCTGATACAAACCTATTTTTATGCTGCTTATATTTCCTGTGGCTCTTCCCCTTTTGTCTGCTAATTTTATAATGTCATAAAGTTTATTTTTAATTAGTGCCAAGAAAAGGGGGCTCAGTCTATACTCCAGGCAGAAAAAGAGCAGCTATGCATGGCAGTGGTGGCAGCCAGGAGGCAAACACAAAGAGAAAGATGGGGTCACATGTATCACTGCCATCCCATCCAGAAGGTCACTTTGCACATTTTTCTCTACTCAAGAGAACAGTTATGGGAGGTAAAGGAGACGGGGGAGTGATTTGTTTCTTTTTAGAAAACAAAGCCATTCCTTCACTGGCTACATAGTCTAAAGTGCTGCAGGCAATGGCCTGGTTCCAACCTCCCCGCTCCTTACCTCCAGGGATACACCTGAGCATAGGCCCAGTCACTCATGCATGCGTGGCCAGGTCTCCTACAAACACTCATATATTTACACACGCTCTTTCATGGATGAAGGAAAACTGGAAGGGGAGGGAAGGGAGATCTCAGGGCAGAGGTTCCATGTAGCAACAAGGGGATCATGCACTCCCCACAGAGATTGAGATAAACTGGCAGAATCAGCAGAAGGACTCAGTGTACACTAGCCGCCAGCCGCCTTCACAGTTCCTTTAGCCGGGGCCCAACCAGAAGACAAAGTCGCAGCCATGTCCTGTGCCCACTCCCCAAACTAAGGGACCCAAGATAGGGGGTTTGGGGGTCACAGGGGCTCAGGGAACAGAGGTGAGAAAAGTCCTGATTTGCAACAGTTCTGATCTCTCGTGGGAATCAGGAGTCAGGCAAAGGCCTGGCCCAGAGTCCATCCAGGCCCAGAGCGGACAGACACTGAAACCAAGTGATCATTCAAAAGCCAAAGAGAACTCAGTGGCCATGATGATCTTCCAGGTGCAGCAACCCCCAACATCTCAATGGCCATTCCATTCCAGAGGCCACTGATGCACTAGTAGTCATGCACTGCCTGGACCTAGATGGATGTTTCGTCACATGTGGCTAGAGGAGCCCCAGTTAGCCGAATGTGGGCTGGGCTTGGGCAAGGGTCAAGTAGGAAGGGTGGAGGGAAGCCACCAAAGCCGCTGCCCCTCTTGGCCAGGGCCAGCGGCAGTCGCTCATCCTCAGGAGAGGGAGAGGGAGGGTCCTGGCTGTAGCTTGTGGTCCCAGATTGTGGGGCTCCTAGGTCCAAGCCCACCTTGTCTCTAGCTAGAAGTTCCCTGTGTCTCCGTCGCTGCTGATGCCGACCAATGAGGAGGAGAGTCAGGGATGCTGCAAGAACCCCCAGGAAGAAGCCAGCTAATCCAACCCCCATTGTGTGGGCCCGGCTTGGAGGGCCCCGTTGGCTGCCCCACACCAAGCTGTAAGCAGCTACCACACGGGCTGCCCCACCCTCCTGACACTCACAGGCATAAGCACCCATGGCTCCTGGGGTTACCACCACCTCTAGCCCATCCCGCCGGGGGGTGAGTGCAGTCACTCCATCAGGCTGGTGCCACACGCAGGATGCCCAGGCTGAGCTCGGGGAACACGGCAAGACCACATGAGCAGCTCTAGCCACAGGAACTTCAAACACCACTGGATATTCTGCAGAAAGACAGAAAAAGCCCAAAAGGTGGTGAGGTCATAGCTGGGGGTAGGAAAGAGAGAAACACGCACTTACATCAAATATGAGAAGGGGACATGGGGACAAAGCTAAAAAGGGGATTCCCAAGAAGGGCAAAGTGCCAGGTCACTGGCTGCCTTATCTTCCAGGATCCATGTTTTAAAGTGGGTCCAAAGTGGATCCATTCACTGCACCCACATTTCCCTGAACCACACACACCTCCAGGCTCTTTGGGACACAAAGAAGACACATCAGCTGACTCGATATCTTGGACCAGCCTATAAGAAAAGAATACTTGGTAAGTCCAGTGTCAACATTCCCTTCTACCCACCTCAGTAGCACTGAACATTCACTCACTAGTTCCATGTCCTGTCCTCTCACGAGTCACTCCTGGAAGGAAGAATTAACATTCTCCTCATCACTAAAACTTACCCCAGCACCTCTGACACTCCTCACAACACTTGCCACATCAAATTCTACACATCTTTCTAGCAGACCACAGAGAATTAAATGTGTACTGGATCTGTTGGAAAGATGTCTGGTGAGGTGATTTAAAAGAAACGTGGAAACCTCCCAAGAAATACAGCTATGGTTGCCCACAACTACAAGACTTCTCTGGGAAAAGTATAAGAGAGAGAGAGTGAGAGAGAGAGAGATTTAAGAAAAAGAGCAAGCTTCTTTTCTGTAAAAGCTCAGTGAGATGATTTTTGTGTCATAAAAGTTGCTCATATCTACAAAGGAACTTGCTTCAACAATCTAACAGCTCTGTCTCAAACAACACAACCCCACTACCTCTAGGATTTGGGTGGAATGTGTCTGACAGGGAGAGCAAGACAGACTGCTCACTTTGAACTCCCTGGCACCAAACTCAGAGGGAGGCAGCCAGGGAGACCTCTACTGGGCTGTCAGAGAAGACCAGGTAAAAGTTCAGTCTGAATATACCAAAGATAGACTCCACTTGAGTGGGAACAGTTCCACATGAACTGAGGCCCTGAAATGAACTCCAAGACTGGTATGAATGCATTACAGTGTGTGGGTAAAACCAAGGTTGCTTAGTCCAGCAGACAGTCCACCCTAATAGAGCAGTACGGCTCCAGCTGTGGGAATTTCATAGTCTATGTTTTCCTCCCTTGTATGAACTGAAGTACAGAGGGTCAAGTGCACAGGAGTAGCAGCTTCATAATTTCTTGTATTATCAAGAATACACTGGCATGTAAGACACTCCATATTCTCTAGCCCCCACATATATAGCTTATGGGGACCTTGAAGCTCAAGTGTCTAGGATTGTTCAGGAGCAATGAAATTCTTGTTTTAATGGATATTACTATAATAAAGGAAGGAACAAAGCACTTACTTTTGTCTTAGACATTTAAAAGTTCTCCTAAAATAAACTAAAAGACCAGGTCACAGTTTTTAAACAAAAACTAATTCCCGAAAATAAGAACTTTTACTTCTAAAATATTGTACAGACAGATAAGTGAGATGGACTGACAGACACACAAGTCATACACAGGTACAAGAAACACACACACAGGGCTACATAAATCTCCACATTACAGGGCTGTGTAAACAGATAAGCAGCAGACCCATGAATGGTCCAGTGCCCAGGGAAGCAGGCAAGGAACCAGGGCAGCCATGCTCACCCCCCATGTTCCCCAGCATGGGCCACACATGCATGTAGGTGGAAGCTCCAGGCACAGACAGGGTCTTGGGCCAGGATGCACTCCGAGCAGCTCTGGAGACGGCCGCAGTTGGTTGTGTTCACTTGTGTCACCTCAGTACGTGAGCCAATCAGGAGCCAGCCCTATGGGAAGGGAGTGAGAAAGAGCAGACAATGGGTCTCCCAGACATCAGGGTTACAAAGTGGCCCTAGACTCAGATGTCTCCCCATCAAACTCCCCAAGATCTACAACTCACTTGATACAGTTTCATAGTATCAACTGGCTGTGGCTCTGGGAATAAAGCCAGATCCTCGAGGACGCTGAGCTGGGCTCCGATCTGCACTGCTCGGTGCAGGTGTCCATCCTCTAGGAAGCAGGCAAGGGGCAAAACATAAGGACATACAGTACCCGTGTCTGCGACTGGAATCCTCTCTGTGATGAGAACATGTATGCCCTGGGTGGGCAACTTGCTTGGCTATCAACATACCTGTCCCCAGGTAGAGTACATCATACTCTTTCCCAGAGAGGCTGATCACCCTGTGCGCAGCAACTCTGAGATAGGCTGTGTCGGTAGTGACCAGCAGGGGGCGGCCATCAGGTGGAAAGACTGGCCTGTCCATGAGAGGATGGTCCCGGATGAAGGTGAGAACCCGGTCAGGCAGGGAGAGTGATGAGCCAAACTGCTGGAGCTTCATGTTGTTGGTGATGCACTAAAGGAAACAAAGGATGAGTGACAAAGCTTCCCAGGCCAGGAAGTGTCTGTGATGCTTTGTTGGACTCTTGCCCTATTGGGGGCAATTCAGTCCTGGTCCCAGCCCCCTCACCTCTCCAGGTCTCGGCTGGGGCACATCATTGTCCAGGACAGGCAGTCCCCTGTTGCAGTCATGTTTCAGCTCTCTGAAGGGACCTTTGAGTGCTGTCCGAATGTCTTGGGGTCGGAAGGTGCAGACAGCAGAGATGGTAGCCCCCTCCCTGGGAGAGTCACAGGTTGGAGCCAGATATTTGGAAGGAAGTAGAGGACAGCAACTCATTCCTTTGTCAGATGAGACGACCCATGAGTCATGCAACCTGCTCCAGGGCAGACGGAGCAGGGCTCCAGGGAGGAGGCAGCACCGACACTGCACCAACCCCATGTATTTCCCACCCCATAATTCTCCTCCACACCAGGACCTCCTCACCACTGGGAGGAAAAGATGCCATAAAAGATGGGGGTCCCCACTCCAGTTTCAGGTCGAAGAATGGCCATGTCCTGCAGGACACTGGAGGCCCGGCCATGCTCAGGCCCTGGACAAAGCAGGTCAGCTTTCAGAAACGTCGTCCACCTCTGCTGGAGGGTCTTCCGGCCCCCAAGGTCCCCCTGGGGTGACAAGTATATAGGGAGTTCTCTTAGAAGTTCCTCTATAGAAGAATAACATCTGGAGAGAAGTTGGTGACCAATACAAATTTCCCCTGATTTCAGGGCAGACACAGACGGATGGGGAGACAGATGCACAGAAATGCAAGGGCAGATTCAGAGACAGAAAGTGTAGGAGATAATGAGATACAGGGGTGGATGGGGTCACAGTAACAATGATGATGACTAAGTTCCTGTGTACTTATGAAGCACAGTACTATGTGATTTGTATGACTTACCTCACTTAGTCCTCAAAATAACCCCAATGGCTAGGTTTCATTAGCATCCTTATCTTACAGATGAGATTCAAAGATGCCAAAGAACCTGCCCAGAGTCACAGAGGCAGTAAGTGAGGAAGAGCAGGGTGTTGAACCCAGGTCTGTCAACAGTCCTGCCATAGCCTCTCCACTTGTCCACCTGCTGTGGACAGTGCATCCCAAGGGTACTTGTGGGGGTCAAAGGGGCACATGCTTTAAGTTCCCAGAAAAGAAGTCAGGGCAGAGGAAAGATGCAAAGACAGATCCAGAGAGGAAAAGCTAGGAGGACAGGCAGAGCAGAAGACGACAGACAGACAGCCGGGACTGGGGTCTCACCGCACAAACGCGGGCCACCCGCGGGACCTTAATGCTCTCGTATGTGTCAAATACTCGGGAAGTCTCCGTAAAGAAGAAGTAGATTTCATCGTCTCCATCTTCATCCCCCCACTCGGCTGGGCTCAAGGCCACCGCTGCAACGAATGCTGGGGCTGGGGAGACCCAGTGGCCTCAGATCCCATGGACACAGCATGGGGCCACCCAGTCTCCACCCCACTCTGCCCCAGGGCGCCCCTCTCCCTCTCCCCACCGCTCAGCCAGGATCGCAAGGTCTCTGTTCGAATCCAGTCCTCAGCTCGACCCACAGCCCGGGAGATAATCGGCTCCGTTCCCAGGTAGTTTTTCACAGTGGCAGCATAGAGGACCCCCCCTGCAAAGTGACAAGGAGGAGATGGGCTATCAGAGAAGCACTGAGGAAAGCAAAAGGGGTGACAGGCAGAGCAGAGCATAAAGCAGAGACAGGAACTCTCAGTGGCACTGCTAAGCACATGACTGGCATCCCTTGACTTAAAGGTAAAAACAAGTGTTCCAGGCAGTAAGGGGAAGCAGTGCTAAGGGAATGTAGGATGTATCAGTGTATGATGCTTCTGTTGTGTACATTAAGGCTGCCTTTTTAGGTTTTACTTTCTTGTTGTTTAGGGACTTCCCTGCCCTGTAATATGCTTAGACTGTGATTCTCCAGTCTTGTTTGATGGCATGTTCCAGCCTCATTCTCCCACTACAGTGTCTGGGAACTAGTGCCCTATCTGAAAATTAGTGGGAACACGACTCTGAAACGAGTCCCAACTTTAGAGTTGAGACTCTAGCTCCACTTGGGGAAGTGATCAAAACGAAGCTTCCTGGTCTAGCAATTCTCAGCAGACTTAGGGGCTGGGCTAAGAATCTGCCTTTCTAACAAGCAGTTGCAGTTATTTTGATGTAGGTGATTCAGGCTCTCAAGTCGAGAAACACTAAAAGATAACAGTTTCAGGCAGCCAGGGAAAGCATCTAGAAATCAGATCCTCTGTCCTGATATAGTGAAGATATGTAGGGATGGTAGGGATTAGAGAAGAGAGAAATCACAGAAACTCTTGCAAGGAAGGGGAAGCACATCTCCGTGGGCTGAATGTGAGAAAAATCTGGCCACTCTGAGTTATATGGCCAAAGGCTTGGGTATGAATAGGAGGAAATGATGCCAGGGATAGTAGGTCACAAACCCCTGGAGGTGTCCCAAGCCGCACTGGGATTCTGGGAGAACAGAACGGTATTCCTTCACCACCCACTATGTCCAAGCACTGTGCCAGGTGCCAAGCACATCACTGCCCGCAAGTACCCCCACTGGAGCCCAGAAGACAAATGTGCAACAATACCAGGTGTGGGCTCACAAATGGCATGTGACAGCATGGAAAACCCAGCTACATCTACTAGGGGAGCAGCACCCCAGAAGGGATGTCTGAAGAATGAGCAATTTGCATTGCAATTTGCATTGAAGGAGAACTTCAGGGAGGGAGAGAGGCAAGTGGAGAAGAGGGGAGCCAAGTTCAGGGATGTGGGGCACTCCCAAGGATGAAGCTCCCTCAGGGCACAGAACTGGGGGCAAGTAAGAAGACAAAGCAGGAGGCAGAGACGTGAGCACCCAATTGTAACCAGTCTGCTTTGTCATAGCAGGGAAGGTGTACTTTGTCCTAAAACTGTAGAGATTTTCTTGAGGAAAGTGACAGAATCAGTTCTGGTTTTTAAGAAGATAAAGCTATTAGGTAAAAGGCCTTTCACACAGTCTAGGCAAAAGCAGAGAGTCTAAAGTAAGGCAGTGGCAGAGGGAATTAAAGGGGTAGACTTTGGGAGATATTTTGGGGGTAGAATGCATAAATAAGACTCAAAAATCAATTGAGTACACCGTATGAATGAATGGAATAAAATAACATCTGTGAGGTTCCAGCTTATAAGATAGATATTATGAACCAAGTCGGGAAATGATAGAAGACCTGTATGGGAGGTAGCCAGAGAACAGGCGAGTTCTACTGTTGGCCATGCTAAAGCTGAGCACCTTTAGAGCAACTGGTCAGAAACACTGGAAGACAAACAGGAGGGTCTGGGTCACAGGGCTAGAGTCAGGCAACCCTGGGGTTATGGGAAATCATGATGTGAATGGGGCAGCCAGGGAGAAAGGGAACATGACAAGAGAGCCCTGGGGGTACCACCACCCAGGAAAGAGGCTACCGAAGGCCACTGAGATCAAGCAAGAGAGACTGAGGAGCAAGAAAGATCAGTGTGCTGGAGGTTGGTGCACGGAAAACCCAGTAAGAGCCATGGGAGGGGCCTCTCCGGTGGCGCAGCGGTTGAGCGCTGGGTTGCGAAGCTGCCTGCAACCTCTGCAGCCGGTTCGATCCCCGGCTGCTCCCCGGCCACCGGAGGAGGGTCCCACATGGCGCGCAGACCTCTCCTGCCGCCCGCTGCTCCCCTCAGCAGTGTACTTCGGTCCTTCTGCCTGCTCTGCTCCCCGCTCTGGCTCTGGTGAATTCTCTCACCCTCCCGCGCTTCTGACTGTACCCAGTGCATGTATAAACCAAACAAACAAACAAATAATAAATAAATAAATAAGACATGCCTCTAGAAAATTAAAAAAAAAAAAAAAAAAAAAAAGAGCCATGGGAGCTTGAGCGCATTTAAGAAGCCATAGAGTAGGACTTTAGGGAAATCCCAATCATTTCAGGGTCACAGATGATCAAGGAAAGCTGCATATCTCGTGCACTGGAAAGATGACAATTTGAAAAAACACTTTAAATGGAGAAAAAAGGGTCAGGAGCCCTCAGAGGCAGCAGCGAAGGGTTAGAAATATTCTTGTGGGAAGGGCTACTTGAGATTGTGGGAAGAATCCAAGCATTTTGCGAGCAGGATATCTTGGGTTTGAACCCTGAATGCTTGGTAGTATTATGATCTTGGGCAAGTTAACCTTCCTAAGACTCGGGTTCCTCAAACATAGAAGGGCGTAATGCCAGCTTCCATTCAGAGTAGGGCTGAGGGTTAAATTAGGTAACAAATGGAGAGCCCCAGGGAGGGAGGGCCTGGAGCTCGGTCGGCATTCACTAAGTGTTAGTTTCAGCAACTTATGAAAACTCAAGGGATGGATGTGACCAAATACACTTGGTTTGTTGCCAGAAAGGGAAAAGGCGGGCTATAAAATGGCATCTCATTCCATTCCAGAGTATTTCAGGAGGGGAACACAGTTTTGGGTAAGGTACTGGTAGCAAGTGGAGAAGCAAATGAGCCAATCCTCTGTATTTTAGGAGAGAAAAAAACATGGATACAGACGGCAGCATTGGAATCAAACACTGTAACCAAAACTCCGGAGAAAGCTTTGTTGTGGATACCCTGAGAATGCAGGGAGAAGCATCCAGAAGAATGCTCTGGGAGCATGACTTAGTGTGGAGTGCAGGGCAAGGGTGATAATCATAAGTATTTGGGAAGCAGTGAAGGACCACAGATAACTAGGCCATGATAACCACATCCATCAGCAGAGGATGAACATAAAGGGTCCCGAGATTTTCTAGGGCATCAATAGGAGCAGTCAGCAACTCCGGAGCCCAGAAAAGCACACTCTCTCAGGGGAGGGAAAATAGAGCTGGGACAGCAGGGAAGATTAGACACTTTGGGAGAAAACAGCAGGGTATTCCAAGGAAACAGCAGGGTATTCCACACACACACACACACACACACACACACACACGAAGGGACAGCAGCTATCACAACCATGATGCCAGGAATCCACAGGACACAGGAACAACATGTGTCCTAGATTCTCCGGGACAGTCTCAATTTCAAATATTCTGTTTCGTGTTCATACAATAAAATATTCCTCAGTGTGTAGTTGTCTGGCAAATTACTACCAAAAGGGTCAAATCAGTAAATATTAAACATTTTTCACTCTGGTATGAAAAAGTTCACTTTTAAAGATGGTTTGCAATAGGAAATATCATGCATTAATTTTAAAAGAGGATTTTTAGTATGCCCTCGCCTTCCTTCCTGCATTCCCTTTTCTTCTGAAGGTCAGAGCTTTGCAGGATAGATAGGTCCTACCCTAACAATCTAATTCCTTATCTAAAAAAGCTAGACAGGGGCCTCCCTTGGTGGTGTGGCGGTTGAGCGCTGGGATGCGAAGCTGCCCACAGCCTCTGCAGCGCTGGCTTGATCCCCGGCCACCGGCGAGGGTCCCTCATGGCGCGACGGACCTCTCCTGCTGCCCACTGCTCCCCTCAGCGGTATATTTCGTCAGTCTGCCTGTTCTGTTCCCCGCTCTGGCTCTGGTGAATTCTCTCACCCTCCTGCGCTTCTGACTGTACCCAGTGCTTGCATAAATAAATAAATTAATTAAAAAAAAAACAATGAAAAATCAATTTAAAAAAAATTAAAAAGCTAGATAATTTTTTAACAGTCTACAAATAGGACATAATTCAATAATTGATGCAATGTTTAGTTTTCCCCTGCTGTTATACAGGATTTCTGTAACTGTCTTGTTTCTGTGTGTGAATGCTAGGCTTGGGGTAGATATACCTGGATTTAGAGGTAGGTTTGGCTCAAAATACTGGCAGCACCCAGTGCATCTGGAATGTATGTGGCACTCCTTGGCAGATGCAGTAGTCACAAAACACAATGAAACCAAAAGGAGATGATAAAAACACAGGATGGGTTCCCAAAGACAGAGAGTAAAACTCCTCCTGCTCTTCTTGATAAAAAGCCCTATTTATTACTGGATGTGACAGGGAGTATCAAAAATGACTGGCTACTGCCTCTAGCTTGGGTATCTGGAGGGCAGAGGGGATAATGGCACATACACTCAGAGGTAGAAACACTAGTGAAGGAGCAGTTTAGGGGAGGTGATGAGCTCTGTTTAGGACATGCTGATTTTGAGATTTCTGTGGGACATCCAAGGGAAGATGTCTGAAAGGCAGTTAATGTGTGGTCTGTAGCTCCAGATAAGTGTCTGGGAGGCATCAGAAAGTGTGGAAACAGAAAACCACAGAATATGAGAGATGTGAAAGACATCAGAACACAGTGGAAACAGAATCCACAGGGCTGGTTGAGAATATAATTACTTAGAATGCAAGAGAAGAGGATCTTGGGTGGAAATCTAAGGAACCCCAACATTTAAAGAATGAACAGAAGACAAAAACCCTTTAAAGGAGACTGAGGAGAAACTGCAGATGTTGTTAGGCTAATGATAACATTATTCTTCAAATATTTGCAATTTTCCAAATTTGAATAGTGCAAATAAAGACACTGAAATATTTTCTTTTAATTTTACATAAGGGCAATACAGATAAATGTCATATTTGAAGAAAAGATTTAGGAGGGCTTTTCCTAATATATCAAGCACCAACAAACACGAGAAAAGTTGTTGGACTTCACTAATGGAAATACAAATCAAAATATACATCCAATTGGACTTTGGAGGAGATTTACTGTTTGTGTGTTTATTAACTATAATACTTGGGACTCACACGGGTGACATTACAGGTCCTCTTGTCACTGTTGTTGGGACTAACTAGAGAGCAAATCCATCAAGCACTATAAAAACCTTTACACCATTTAGCCCAGCAACCCCACGTATTAGACCAACTCATGCAATTGATTAGATTCATGTAAAGGATTTACATAAACATTTATGTAAAAGGATTTCTTCTACCACATTATTTATAAAAGCAGTAATTTATTTTAAAATTTGAATGCATAATTTATGGGAATAATTAAATTGTGCTGCATACATATGATGAAAAAGTATACATCACTAAAAATCACAATTTGAATAATTAAATAACTCCTATGAGAAAATGCTCAGTATATAATACTAAGTAAACACACATGATAATTCAAATGTACTATAAATCCACAAATATACAGACAGAGTAAAAAAATACTAAAAAAAAATAGATGTTACCTGATGATGATAAAAATAAAAATAACTTCACTTTCTTTATTCAGGTCTATAGTTTCTAAATTTTCTACAATGCACATTATAATTTTATAATTTAAAATAAATACTTCTATTACAGTCTAATAATATTTTAACATTACTAAAGGCTGTTTTTTTATTTCAAAGTATCTCTATGAACCATAGAGAAATTTTTAATAGATCTTAACTGGAATTTTGGCTCTAGTTCTTACACTATTTTCTATAGTGTATAGTGACATTTCTAAAACAGAAGGGAACAGGTATTATGGATCAACATTGAAAATTCCAATTGACTACTGATACTTAGACCAAGAAAAAAATTATTTATGGCCCTATAAAGTAAGAACGTTCAGAGGAAGCTTTATATTGGTAGTGACTGAGATATACAATTGAGACAGAAAAAGCCACAGGCACTATGTTAAATGTCTAGACCTAAACATTCTAAACCACTAGAAAGTGAATTCTGATCACCCCAACAATTTTCAGCTGAAGGCAAATCTGAATTTCATTATTTGAAATTAAAAAAAAAAAAAACCTGAAGTCTTTTTGAAAATGCTCTTTGTCACACATTGATCTTACTTATGAAATCTGTCTTAAACCACATGCAAATATGAATCCACTTGCCTTCTGGAACTCAAAGAAACTACACACAAAAGGTCAAATGTACCTAAAGATTATTGTTTGAACGTTAATCATCTTGGACTGTTACAATGGAGAAGTCATTGTAGAAACAAGAGGCACTCACAACTGCTATATCTTTCTTAATGATCCCAATCACTGGCTCAGAGTTTTGCCTGGCAAAAAGTCAAGAAAAACAAACTACTGACTAAATTGTTTTATTTAAACTGTATAAGTATAAACAAGGTCTCATCTTGTTTCAACCGTGAATGAATGAGCAAAACGACAGCTCAAATATTGTATTTACTAGGTGATTACTTTATATTCATTTTCAAAAGCTTTTGCATTGTATAATTACTTTTCAGAAAAGGCAAGTCGTTTACGTATGACTAAGTGATTTTTTCTGTATAGCTTTTGAGACTTTTCAAAAAAAGTCATGCCAAAAAAATTTCATTGTTTGAGCTAGTATCCCAATTTTTGCTTTCCATAAAATATTATCCAAAAGCATTGGAAAAAACTAATTTTATGATAAAATTCACAGTAAAAATCAGTGAGGAAAGAAAAAACATGATGAATGATGCTAAGTCAACTGATCACTGCATAGAAAAAAATTCACTTAGAGCTCCCTTTTATGCCATTTGCCAAAATAAGTTCCAAATAAATCAAAGAATTAAATGGTTAGAACAAAATTTAAGAACTTTTTTTTCCAATCTGCTCTCTAAATGAAGAATGATTTACCTTTAAAAATATAACCACAAAGGAAAATATAGATCGGAACACTAACATCCTACCTGAAAATCGGCCAAAGAACATAAGCAGAGAATTTGCCAAAGAAGAAATAAAAATAAGTACTAAAACATGACAAGTGTTCAACTTCACTAATATTCAAAGAAATACAAATTAAAACAGGTGTAATTTTAGCCTCAAATTAGCACAGATTTTTTTTTTAATGACTATATTCTGGTGAAATTTAATGACTATATTCTGGTGAGGAAATAAACTCATTCACTGATTATTTAGGGTGTAAATTGGTACACCCTTTCTGAAAACTCAATTAGCAACAGATAATATGCTAGAATGTTCACATCCTTTGATGTATTAGTAGTAATGCATTACCAGGAATATTAAGGAGACAGTAATATGAGGACAAAAATTGATGCACAAAAATGTTCATCACAGTGTTGTATATAATAACAAATATATGAAGTAACTAAGTATTTGAAGTAACTTGGAAATAAATTTATATAAATGATTTGCAATTGTTTATAATTATGTTATGTTCACAGGTGAGTGGCATAACACCACTAAAAATTCTCTTTACAAAGAACTTTTACATTTTATAGAAATACCTGTGATATAAAGTTACAAAGCAAAATTCAGACATATTCATGCAGCATGACATTTAAAAGTTTTATAATACAGACATTTATAAAATTTCTATTAACTTGCTTAGTGTACACTGTCATGAAAACAACAGCTGAATTCTCACTTATTTGAGGGGATGGGGGGGGTTGGTGACCTACAATTCAGGCTATGTAGCACACACACAATTCACTTTGTGGCTGCCAAAGAATTAAACAGTCCTTTTCCAGGAAAATTTCAGGCATAATCCATGATTCCAAAAGATTCCCACAGTTGAGCAACTGCAGATAATCAAAAGTAATGGCAGAAGTGTATTTAATTGTCATAACTGATTTCTCTGAATAATAAAGGGCTGGAAATTAAATATATGTGCGCGGACTGTAGAGACATGTGCACACACACACATTTAAAAGGCAAGAAACAAATGTCCTAAAATATTAGCAGTGGTTTTCTAAGTAGGGATACCCTTATAATTCTAATATGCTAATATGATAGCCACTAGACACGAGACCATTTCCTTTTAAATTAAAATTAAAGATAATTTTAAATCTTTCCTTCAGCTTCACTAGTCACATTTCAAGGGCACAACAGTCACATGAAGCTATTAGCTGCTGTACTGGATAGCACAGACAGAACATTTCCATCATCACACAAAGTTCTTTCAGACTGCTGTTCTACGAGATTTCTTATGTTCATTCTTTTTCCAAATCGATTACAATATGCATTGTAGTACATGCCTCTTATAAACAGAAAAAAAAAAACCCACTACAAAAAAAGAAAATGAGGTTAACAAAGGAAACACACTAGAAGAGCAGAGAACACATTCTCTAGAGAGAACCAGGGAAATAATGGCCTTTGGAGAAAAGCAGAAAGTTGCAGGCACTCTGGGAAGAATAGAAAAGACTAGAAAGAGACATGGAAATAATAGACATTCCAAGGAAAGGAAAGAAAGGACACAAAAATTCCAACAGCAGGGGTGGGAAGGAGGCAATTACAGCAAGAAGTCAGATTCTTGCCTCTCCCTACTCACCAGCCATTATAGCTGCTGACCGCTGAGCTGGATCAAAAGGACATTTCCCCCGGCCACTCTCAAGTCTTTCAACCTGCTGGAAACTGGACACATCCTACAGACCAGAAGGGTTTAAGGGTCATGGGAAGGTTCACAGTGAGAATTACAAAGATGGTCAGATGAAGGAAAAGCCCAATTCCCATTCATTTTCCATTTCCCTGTCACCATCCCCACATTCCCAGTCTTCTATTCCTGATCCCCCCATCCAGTTCACATTTCCCATCTCTGCCATCCCTCTTCTGATCAGTTGATTCCTATTCCCTCAATTACTCTGGTACCCACCCACACACACACACAAACACATGCTTTGTGGAAGGAACACCACGGATGGTCCTAGAAGACACCAAGAGGCAGGCAGATCTTTCCTCTGAAAAGCTGCCAAATGGTAGGGTTTACCACTGGCTGGAGAAAATGCTCCACAGACAAGGAGAACCGGGAAGCAGCTGGCCTGAAGGATGGTGCCTTGAGAAAGTGTAAAGAAAAGCATTTCTGATATTGGACCATCTGAAGTTCTGAATCTAGAGAAAGGCCAACTTTCCCCTCCTCCCATACCAAGGATGAAAGACAGAAGCAGAGTCGAGGACACATAGAAGGGGAGAAGGGAATCTACAAAGTCAATGAGTGACCTGAAGCTCAGGTCCAAATTTAAGAACTTGGTAAGTGCTTACTTTGTCCAGAGACTCCAGAGGGACTAACCTGGGTAAAGGGTGAAGATGGGGTGGGTGAGGGTGGGAGGAGTTAGAAGAGTCCACCAGGGTCAGTCAGAAGTTTCCTTAGCTGAATATCTGGCACTAAGGAGTCTTCAAGATAACACCTACAAATGGAATGGCTTCCCTGACTGTGGCTGGTTGGAAATCAAATTTATGGCACAGAAGTGCCAGGCATGATATCTCTAGTTTATACACTAGAATGAACAGATGGTATTGCTGGGACCTAATGACTGATGGTAGCTGCAATAGCACTGCAGATATATATTCCAAGTGAAAGTATACTACTGGCCCATTCTGACCATCTATTTGCTACAGTTGGCAAATAAGGTTTTATTTTCCTAAGAGAGCCTTGAAGGCCTGTTGAAACTAGATGTGATCTGAGGTCCCCAAAAGGAAATACTGGGTCGAGAGTCTCTTGGATAGAGGACCCCACAGAGGCACATGCACATCCCAGCCTGAGGAGAAAATGACAGTCAGGGAGAGGTGATCATGATGTCTGGGCACTTTGGAGATGGCGGTAATATTGACTTGTCGGAAAAGTTATGACACATTTTTTGTTTGAAAAATAGAAAAAATACGTCATGACTTTTCCCACAACCCCAGAGATGCTGCTACGGCCCTTCTTACCTCTCACCTAAACTACAGCAGTCCCTTGTTTTCTCCACATTGCGTAGTTTCACCCCCAATTTACTCTACATATCCAACCCAGATTAATTCCTAGACTATCATTCACTGAACGGGGTATATTTTTGAGTAAGAGAATGACAAAATGGGTCACTGGTTCCTGGAGTACAAGCTCTTTAGCCCAAATTATTTATTTTCTAGAAATTCTTGAAATGAACTTTTTTCTAACCAAACCCGGATCATCTATTATTCATACAAAACAAATTATTCTCCCACCTCTAAGCCTGAAACTACTCCCTTACATTTCACTGAGAAGTGAAAGAATGAGGCTTTTCTCAGATCTCATTGTCTTTAATCTCTATGCATCGTTTGATACTTTTTGACTCACTTCCCTCCTTGAAATATGCTATTTCTTGACTCTGTTTAAACTTTACCCTTCTGGAGCCCCTCTGCCAAATCTGTTTCTCTGTCTCCTTTGTTTCTCTGTTCCTTCCTTTCTAGCCCTAACTGTGTATCCTAAGGATCTATCCTTAGTCTTTTTTACATATACTTCAAAAATCTCATTCATTCTAACATTTCCAGCAACCTATGCAAATCATCCCCCAAACTCTTGGAGCCTGATATTTGCACTTCACTGCTCAATTTCCAGAGATGAACAGTCAGTCCCTTAAAACTCAACATGTGAAAAGCAGTTCTCTTAGTTTCCCTCAAATGGTACCATCATGTTATCTAGGTTTACATCCTTTGAGCAAGTGAGCCTCTTATGAGATGGATTTTGATTACTGTATGGTCAAAGTCACATTTTATCAGGATGGAAAAGGGGCAAGAGCACTCCACTAATTCTCTATCCGAGATTCTCTATTTCTATCAGCTCCTTCATTATGTCATCTTTGTGTCAGTCATGAGTCTCTCATTGTCAGTTGTGGTGAAGGCAATCCCTCAAGCTGAAATCCAGAGCTAGGTAGGAAGGCTACCATTGAGTTGTGGGGTTGGAATCCATTCACTGTTCTTGGCCAAGAAAAAGATAAGCCATATGAAGGCCCTTTACCAGATGGCTAGGAAATATAGACGGTCACTGCTACATGAAACTGTTTAAATGTCACAAGAAACTAAAGCCAGGTAAGGTCTACTGCGTTGCAGGCTGGACTAGAGAAACCTGGAATTTTAATCTTGCTCTGCCTCTGCTAGCTATATAATCTTTTTTTTTTTTTTTATTTATTTGTTTGTTTGTTTTTTGTTTATACATGCACTGGGTACAGTCAGAAGCGCGGGAGGGTGAGAGAATTCACCAGAACCAGAGCGGGGAGCAGAGCAGGCAGAAGGACCGAAGTACACTGCTGAGGGGAGCAGCGGGCGGCAGGAGAGGTCTGCGCGCCATGTGGGACCCTCCTCTGGTGGCCGGGGAGCAGCCGGGGATCGAACCGGCGCCGCAGAGGCTGCAGGCAGCTTCGCAACCCAGCGCTCAACCGCTGCGCCACCGGGGGGGCCCTATATAATCTTTTTTTAAAATTTTTTTTAAACATTTGTTTTTTATGGGTACTTTATTTAATTTATTTATTTATTTATTTATTTATTTATTTATTTATTTATTTATTTATTTTGGTGTGACCCTCGCCAGCGGCCAGGGAACGAACCGGCACTGCAGAGGCTGCTGGCAGCCTCGCAGCCCAGCGTTCAACCGCTGTGCCACCAGGGGAGGCCCGAGCTATATAATCTTACACATTCTAAATAACTTTCTAAATTTCTGTTTCATTGCCTATAAAATGGAAATAAATAATACCTAAATACCATGATATGGTGATGAGAAGTAAATTCAAGCTTGAGTGAAAAAGTACCTGGCACCAAGCCTGGGACAGCAGAGCCTCAGCTGAGTGGAAGTACTGTTGTTTGCTGTTGCTGTAACATGTTTTCTAACATTTTTGTTGTTTTTTGTTTGTTTCCCTCAACAAAACAAGTTAAAATAAGTTTCCTCCAATGTCCAATAAGCTGCCATTGAAAGGCTGCATTCTACATTGTGGGAACTGGTAGGTACAATGCTTGAATTTCCTTTTGTAAGAACCTTCATTTCTCTGAGCAATCAACTCTGAGCAAGTTGTTGTGACTGGATCAGTTTGTCAAAGCTCTCAGTTAACAGTTACACATTGTCTCAGAGTCATCAGTTTGGGTCATGAGAGGCTCAGCACTAAGGATAAGGCAAAAACTTGCCCAAGTAGAGTGGATGCAGAGTAAGACAAGTAAAGCCGGAAGAAAGCACCCCGGAAGTCTACAAAGCATTCTAGGGATATGGCTTGCAGGGTTAACATGCTTGGTCTTTGGGGGGCTATATTCTCCTCCAAGCAAGCCTTCACCATAGGATAGTCCTTCATTTCATGAGCCTACTAGATAAGAGGGTTCAAAAGTATTAAAAGTTGTGGGAATGCAGGACACAGACCTTCACTCTTGATTGCTAACGTTCGTCAAAAGTGGATAGGGATCCACACACCAATTCCTAAAGATATGACCAGAACATTTTCTGTCTAGATGCTTATCTAACAACCATTAGGGTCCCATCTCAAGATGCTTATCTAACAACCATTAGGGTCCCATCTCAATGAGCTAAGGAAGACTACAAGATCCTGGGAGACTCACTGGGAGTGGGGGCACTTCTAAAAGCTATGGCTCTGGTGTACATAGCATGAGCTCACTGAGCCTATGCAAACTGGAAAAGGACAAACATGGCAATGACACTTCTACTGCATCTTTGTGAATGTACTGAAAGCTCTAGGGAAACTAAGCCCTCAACATTATCTGATGGGACCCAGAAATTTTTAAGAACACCCTAAACTGGGAAATCTTCCCAGGGTGAGTGCTATCCACAGCCCAGTAGAGAGATAACCAACCGTATTATGAAAATGTCAATAGAAAGCCCAACTAACCCTAAAAGCAACACAGAGGGACTGACTTGGAGAATCAAGCATTTAATAATTACAGAATTCTAAAGCAGTGATAGGAGAATGGTATTTTAAAAAGAGGGGTTTGGAGATACACACTGACTAGCAGATTGCAGAAGTTTGTAATAGTTAAATATCAGGTCAAGAAAGGGAGCTATTTCATTCCTCTTATTGCCATAAGCAGAAAATGGAATTCACAGGATACAAAGGTCATGTGAGGCTTTCAACTCACTCCAGGGCCTAGTCACAAATGCATGCTACCAGAGGGCCAGTGACTGACTAGATAACTAATGGGAAAAACTGAGGGTACAAACACATTGAGACATTTCCTGAAAGGTCACCAGACTCAGCGACTTTTGTGCTCATGACTAGCTTAGATGCAATTAGGGGTATAAATGCCCAAATCTGTCTGGCTGTGAAGGTGGAGATACCCAACACTTTAGTAGCAATGATCAGGACCCAGAAGGAAACATAATTGAGAATGCCCACCTTAAAGATCCAGGATATGGGGCCAGCGGCTAGTACATTAGTGGGCAGTGACCTCAGAAGCCATGAGAGCAGAAGATCACAGCCCACAAAGAATGAGGAGAGCAGAGGTGGGAGAAGATGGTGAGAGACAGTCATACACCACAAGAGGAAGAAACAGGCATGGGCTATGTTAACTAAGAAATGGACCTAGACTGCCTGGACAAAGCATTGAGGGGAACATGAGTTACTAGTCTCTGAAATTTCTTATGGATTTACCCTCTCCCCAGCCCAGCCAGCATCCCCAACTTTCTTCACTATCCTACTCTTTTTCTTTTTACTCTTTGTACACCTCATCTTCTACAATTTCCCTTCCCTTTCATATACTCTTTCAGTGGCAGACAAAGGCTCCCTGCAGTGAGGACACCCAGCACCCTAATGCTTATCATGCACAAGGGCTGCCATGAGCATGCCCCCCATCATAGTCACTCAAAGAAGACCCTTCCTGTTCCCCACCCTTGTCACTCACAATAACCCCGCACTTCGGGTCAAAAGCGAAGGTGCCGCAAGTGAGGAGATGAGAGGCGTTGGCAATGATGAGAATCTGGACAAAATTGTGACATTCGCCCTGGGGATCAGAGATGATTAAAGACAATCAGAAGTAGGAGGTACAAGGAAAGGTTAAGTTTGTGTCAGGATGAGATGCAGCTACAGGATCGGAGATGGGAGGGGCTGACACAGTGTTAGAGTCCCAGCTTGGGTCCACTGAGGCAGCAGCTCTGCAGGGGACTGAGACAGTCAGGGCAGGGCCAAGGCATCAACTGTCACTCAGAACAGGACCTGGGTTTATACCTACCTCTTTCTTGCCTTTCTTCCTACAGTTCTCTCTGTGGGCCTCAGGTACCATCCAGTCAATCTAAGAAAGGAACAGTGACCATTTGCCCCAATTTCTCCCCAAACTCTTCCCAAGTGAGAGTGGGTGAGACAGTTATTTAACCTCCATCAATCTGAGAACTTCAGAGACACCTCCCACCAAGAGCACTGTTTTCCAAACTGTAGTCTCCATCCACTGAGTAATGAAATCACAACCAACATTATTTTTAGTGAAATACAATATAAGAGAATATATGCTATAAAGGATAGCTATAGTTTCAAGAGAGTTTTCTTTCATATACTTTGTGTACTAGATCAAAATGTACCATTTATTTCTAAGGAGCGGTCAAAAAAGTTTGAAAGTTATTGACTTTAGAGTAATGTGATTCTAATGACTCCTTTGTCCACTGTCACTTGAAACCTTGTCACTTGGTCTTCTCCCCATCATCATGAGCCTTTCTCACAGCCTCCCCAGTCACCACAACCCCCCCCCATCACCCTCTGCTGAGACAATGAAGTTGGAGATCTCCCCTTCTTTATTTTCAGGAATACTCCCCAACTACCACACCATGCTTACACTTTCAGATATTATGAGCACACCCCCTCCCCCTTTCCTCCCTACCACATCCCATAAAACCATGAATCTAATCACATGCGCTGAAGTCCAGGATCTTCCCCACTCTCATCTCTCACCCTTCGGGGTCTCTCCCCTGTGAAGGGTAGAGATAAAGCGAAGATGGTGTCCCGGGCGCCGACATAAAGTGTGTGGGAAGCAGGATCCACAAGGAGAACCGAGTAATTGTATGTCTGAGGGACGGTGAACCGGGTGAGATAGGAGTCAGCCTCTGGCAGGAAGAGAGGGTGAGAGTGGAGTAATATCAGCCATCACCTCATAAGGGTTGGGTCCATGAGGACAAAGCCAAAGGGTACAATTTTTATTTTCTTCCACGTCCCATTTATTTAACAGCCCTCAAGGGAACAGAGATCTGACAGCCAACCATCTAACTTCCCCACAGATAGATAACTGAGGAGGTCAGAATATTTAGTATATAATCCAGTCAAGTATGCTTTTTCTATAAAAGCAGAGCACTTTATTAAAATAGCAGCACAAATATTAAGTCTGTGTTCTATTCATAGCAACATTATACATAATTTGAAAATATCAATAAAAGATACAAGTACTTTCCTTCCTAGATTTCCTTATTTTAAAGTGACTATTTAATAGTCACATCTCTTTACCTAGAAGGAGAATATTTCACTCCTTTCACCAACACATTAGGAGGCTATGTCCTCTCTCCCCACTACCCTTGACCTTCCCACATTCCACCCAAAGAGATAGAGCTCAGTGGACATGAGTATATGATTTGACGATGGAAAACATGACTCTTTCACTTACCAGCTGTATGATCTTGAGTAAGTTACTTGCCCTCTCTGAGCATTACCTTCCTCACCTGTAAACACCAGCATCCAGTGTTGTTGGGAGAATTATGTAAGATAATGTATACGAAAGCACCTGACACCTACTACATGTTTCACAAATGGTTCCTTTCTTCCTTCCTTAGGTGTATGTTGTGTTTTGGCCAAATCTCAACTTCATATCAACATTTCAAACTCTAACCCATTTAAAAATTATAACAAATAAGTTAGCGTGCAATTATTTTCTTAGCTCTAGGGATCCTTGCCCAGCACCAATACAGCTCTGTCCTACCTACTGTCTCTGCTCAGCTAGCCTCAAAGCTGACAGAATGGCCACAAGGCATTCATTTCTAGATGTGCCAATATGGAGCACCACCTACCCCATCCTCCCACAACCATACTCAAGTCTGTGCTGTGTCCACCTACTTGCTCATGCTTAGTATAAGCCTTGGATCTTCCTTCCTACCCCAATATCTGCTTCACTTTACCAGCTAGACCTCTCTAGTTTCCTTGGTTGTCAACACTGCTCTGCATCATCCTTAATTCTGTGTTGTGGCTATTGTTCCAGCACAAACTGAATCCCCTGGCCCTGACCACAACTTTGTCGTCTTAATTCTAGCATCCCTATATGTCACTGGTATGAAGTTCGGACTCTAAGTTACTACTATCCAGTTGTGGGGTTTACGAACAGGTTATATGCCGGGCTTCACAGGTCCTGTCTGCCAACGTTCTAACATTCAGTGCCCACTGAGAAGAAAATTAAGTCCAGGGTCATGCTTATGCCCACCCAAGCCCTCAGCAGAGGGCCTTAAAGTGTGGATTACTCTAATGATCACGTTTAACCCTGTGGCATCCCTGGCTTCTTCCACAGCTTTTAAAGGGACCATATCTCCCTCCTTTTTCCCTTCTGACTTTAAAAATCATTTAAATAAAACAAATCAATTCACGGAATGGTTTCAATATTGAATGGAGGGAATGTGCAGTGGTGAACAGGAACGCTGAAGGAGGATGAGGGGTTGATGTCAGAGATGAGAGGACAGAGAGGTGGTTTAGAGAAATTAGGGTTGTGAGGAGGGCAAAAGGCTTGCGCTGGGGGAGAACTGATAGTAAGGGAATGGATTTGAAAGGTGGGCGGACGAAATGGTGAGCTGGTAATCAAAAGGATGAGTGCTGGAGCTGACTGAGCAGACAGAAGGATGTGGAAGTAGAACAGGCTTCGAGCTGGCACGAGGAAGACAGGTGTTATGTACCGGAACAGGGAAAGGGAACTACCAAATGGACAGCTGGGGCAACCCCCATTCCCTCCTTGGGCCTCCTTGGGTCTGCAAGACGAGAGGCTTAATTGTCCCACCGTTCTGCGAACACCGAGCCGCAGCAGTCGTCTGGGCGAGTCTTGGAAACCAAGTCGCGAGGCCCGGGCCAGGAACGCGATAGGGCAGCCCCGAATGGGGGTGCCGCCCAGGTCCCGCATGGGGGTCCCCGTGACGCACTGAGGGGCCGCCGGGTGCGTCTGCCGGGCTTTAAGAGGGCAGGTGGGTACGGGCACCTGCCGGCGGGCCCGGGGCGCGACAAGACGGGCTGAGGCGAGGGCGCCCACGCCTTACCGGAGATAGGCAGCGAGGTCCTGGGCACCGAGCGGGGGACGCGGCCGCACACCGGGCAGCTCAGCATCGCCAGCAGCAGCAAAGAGAAGGGCGAGGTCGGAGGCGGGCGGGGCCGGGCGGCAGGGACCGGCATCTTTGGCTCCGCCCGGCCTCGGGGTACGGGTACACCAGCCGCCTCAGCTCCGGGCCGCGGCGCCGCAGGCATCGGCCCCACTCGGATCTACTCGGCCCGGTTCCGCCGAGGCTGCGGGAGGGAGCACAACTCAGCTCCTCCCGTTCAAGAAAAGAATAATGATTGGATTGATTTCCTCCTCCAGCCAATCGGGGTAGAGTGGAGGCGAGGCTATTGAGAGGAGAAGCCCAACCCAGGTAGAGAAGGAAGCTTCCCAGGTGTAAGTGGGAATTCTACCTCTGAAATAGACTGGAGGTGTCACTCCAGCACCGCCAGTGACTTATCTACATTAACAGGGATAATATGTGGGTAAATGGGTGCAGGCACAAAATTTCTCGAAAACATTATTTTTGCAAGAATTTAATGAGGGCAGTCTATGTGTCAAACACTGCAAAAACATAATTGCATTACAGAGTCATTCGTGATTGCTATAATAATGTGCAGTAAGTACTCGGTTGGAATAGATTTTGCCTGAGCAAATTAAGACGGTTTCACAGAACTGATATTTGAACTGTCACTTGAACATATTGAAGTGTTCAGGATGAGCAGGCCTTTGAGGATGAGGGACAAAGTCTGGATCCACTCGGGCATCCTACAGACGAGACAAACAAAGCACCTGGACATAACTTACTCTCTCCCTCATCTCAACTCCTGCTCCTTCATTAAGCACGTTAGTCCTCCAGTTTATAACATTGCAAGTAATCCTTGCTTTGTTCTCTTTCATCCTCCTATTATACTAGTTATCAAGGCTGTATAAAAATCACAACAAACTAACATCACAATCTACATAATTAACATCAATTATTTACATTCAATCAAAGAAAAATGAGCAGAAGAGCTAAATAGACATTTCTCCAAAGAAGACATACAGATGGCCAATAGGCACATGAAAAAAAAAAAATGCTCATCATCACATATCATTAGGAAAATAGAAATCAAAACCACAATGAGATACCACCTCACACCTGTGAGAATGGTCCATATCAAAAAGATCAGACAAAACAAGTTGTTAGCAAGGATATGGAGAAAAGGGAACCTCTGGATCTACACTGTTGGCAGGAATTTATACTGATCCAGCCCCTATGGAAAACAGAATGGAGGTTTCTCAAAATGTTAAAAATAGCTGTACCATATGATTCAGCAATTCCACTCCTAGTTATCTACCCAAAGAATGTAAAAACAATAATTCAAAGTAATTCATCCCTATGTCCATTGCAGCACTATTTAAAATAGCCAGGTTATGGAAACAACCTAAGTGCCCAAGGGCATAGGAGTGGATTAGAAAAATGTGGTACACAGATGTAGTGGAATACTATTCAGTTATTTAAAAAAAAATAGCGGGCCTCCCCTGGTGGCGCAGGCGATTGAGCACCGCGCTCTGAAGCTGTCCGCAGCCTCTGCAGCACTAGTTCGATCCCAGCTGGCTGGTGAGGGTCCCACATAGCGTGACAGATCTCTCCTGTCTCACCCGCTGCTCCCCTCAGCAGTGTATTTCGTCAGTCTGCCTGTTCTGTTCCCTGCTCTGTCTCTGGTGAATCCTGTCACCCTCCCACGCATCTGGCCTGTACCCCAGTTCTTGTATAAATAAATAAATCTTTAAGAAATAAAAAAAAATTAAATAAAAAATTTTTTAAAATAGCTCTTACCATTTGTGACAACATGGATGGACTGGAGGGGACAATGCTAAGTGAAATAAGTCAAAAGGCGAACGATAAATACCAAGTGGTTTTACTTATTTGTGGAATATAAAGAAACAAAGCAAAGAATCAGAAGAAACCAGACCAGTAATAAACCCTAGAAAACTGACTGTGGAATCCAGGCCACAAGGAGAGGTGGGTGAGGAATACAGTAGGGAAGGGAACACAATGGACTATGGTGGAGATCTATGAGTGACATGGTGGTGGGTGTGGTTTGACAATATGCATCTTAGAAGGTATGACTCTATGCCTCTGAATTATATACAAAATTGTAAACAAGTGTTACTTCAATTTAAAAAAATAAATATTTATTATTTCTCAGTTTCCCTGTGTCAAGAATTCAGGAGTAGCTTAGCTGAGTGGTCTGGCTCCCAGTCTCTCATATGGTTACTATCAAGGCATCAGATGGGGCTGCTGTGATCTCAAAGCTTGTGTGGGGCTGGAGAGTCCACTTCCAGGATGGTTTACTTCCACGCCTATCAAACTGATGCTGACTGCTGGCAGTAAGTCTCAGTTCCTCTCCACATGGACTTCTCCATGGAGCTGTTTATATGTTCTCACAACATGCACTTGGCTTCCTCAAAGCAAGTGATCCAAAAGAGCAAGGTGAAAACCACAATGTATTTTATGACCTAGCCTCAAAACTAACATATCAGCATTCTGCCATATTCTATTGATCACCCAGGCCAATCTTGATGCACTGAGATAAGGAACTATACAATGGTAGAATATGAGGATTTCAGGAGGCCACCTTGGAGACTGGCTGCCACATCCACATGTAAGCAGTCACCGAGTCCTGATAATTCTGCCTCATAAATAACTTAAATCTGTCCTTTTCTTTCTATTATCATCACAGTTCAGGACTTGATCATTGCTTACCTAGAGTATGCAATAATTTCATTTTTTTAAAAACAAAAGTTCTGCCTCCTATCTCTCCCCTTCCAGATTGTGATCGATGTAGTCTTTCTTTTTTTTTTTTAAGATTTATTTATTTGTACATACAAGAGCTGGGGTACAGGCCAGAGGTGGGGGGGGTGTTGAGAAGATTCACCAGAGACAGTGGGAAACAGAAGAGGCAGATTGACGAAATACACTGCCGAGGGGAGCAGCAGGCAAGCCAGGAGAGGTCTGCTGTGCCATGTGGGCTGCTCCCTGGCCGGTGGGATCGAACTTGTGCTGCAGAGGCTTCGGACAGCTTCATAAGTTGCATCTTAACCCCTTGAGCCCAGGGAGGGCCAATGTAGTCTTTCTATAGTAACAATTCAGGTGTATTCATTCAATAGTTATTGAGGACCAACAATGTATTAGGTATTTTGCTAAGTACCAGAGATAAGATGATTAAAACATGGTCCCTAAATTCAAATTGCTTAGTCTAGAAGAGAAATTAGACATTAGAGATTGGAATATCAAATTTTCTCTCCAAAGTTTTATAACACACAGCCTTAGCACAATAGGATCCTCCTCTGAGTTTCTCCCTAGTTACTTCTCAGCAATCTAGCCTAGATCTTACTCCCATCTCTGAACTGGCTTGATGCTAATATCTTTTCTTGTCTTTTTATTTTTTTCAATAGTCTCTTTCAAATGTTGAACAGCAACGCACAATAAGTTTATTTTACATTCCAACCTAGTCATACTTAACTACATACATTCATAATATACTAGTATAGTAAAATTTGCACAAAGTCATACACTACATTTATCTTTGAATCTGGAGCTAAATACAGATAGTTTCGATTGTTTTGCCTTTTATTCTACTTGATTTTTTTTAATGATGGTTGCAGCCCACAAAATTGATTTTGCTGCCTATTAATGGGTTGAGATCTCCACGTGGAGAAAAATCACTGCTGGAATGTTTGGGAGGGGTAGGGGAGCAGGGGCACTAACGAGAAAGTGTCAGGGTTAGCATAATAAGAGCCAAAGAAGGGCTGTTCCCTTGGAGCCTTGGAGACCAGCGTCCTGAGGGGGAGCCTGTAGCGAGCCCAACCGCCCGGCCGCCGCCGGCCTTAAGGGGGCGCTTTTAGAAGCAAGTCGCGCGCGGAGAGCCGGGCACTGCCAGGTAATGGGGTCTTTGCTTTCCCAAACAAAAGGGTGTCACGCTCGCTTCACCGCGCGCCGGGCCAAGAGAATGACTGAGGGCCTTTGGGAGTGGGGACGGCCCCTAACGCCGGGCAGCGTCTCACAGGGTGGGCCGGGGCGCCGGAGGCCCCTCAGACAGCTACTGGCACGTCTGGACTGACACCCAGACACCCCCGCCTTCTGCGGGTCTGTCGTAGGCGTCCCTTTTCACACAGGTCTGCGCCGGCCTTCGGCTGAGGCAGACCGTCGCCGTCTCCTCAGCAGGCTTCCAGTCAGGCGCGCGGGCGCCACGCCGAGGTCCCGGCGTGCCTGGGGGCCCACGAAAATGTGTCAACATCTTGTAAAGTTAGCGGGGGAAACAGCAACACAGTCAATCGTTAGGGTGAAGAAAATGTTTTGATTTTCTTTTTCTTACCTGACGGAGAAAAATGAAATTTTTAGGGCCCACGAAAGAATATTAATTTATTCACTTTTTTTTTTTTTTATGAGGAAGGGGCAGGGCCCACGAAGGCAAAAGTGCTGAGGAGTCACCAAAGTATTAATGCAGCCCAGCGTGAGGGTGAACCTTTGAGTCGCTTGTCACACACAGAGTGTCCTCGGGCTGTGAAAGCCTGGCGTGGGCGCTTTTATGAGGGCAGGTAAAGAGGCCTAACCGGTTAAGCAAGACCTGAAGGGCAAGCAGCAGAAGCCACAGCCAGAGGCCAGTGTGTTTGAGACTTGAAAAGAGCTCCAAGGGCAGGAGGATATGGATCAGTGGAGGATGGCGGGGTGTGAGGATGGAAAACGGGTCAGGAGATACTTAGAGAACTTGGCGGCCTGAATAAGGGGTTTGGGTTTTGTTCCAAATGTAATTGGAAGCCACTGAAGTAGGAAGTAACTTGATGACTTTGGTGGTTCAAGTCCCAGTTCCAGGTTTAACAAGTTTGCAGGGGGAAACCCATAAGTGGGTGTACTTGGCGAAATAGAGAGTACAGAGTCAAAAATTGTCAGATCCTCTTTAATACTATGTCCAGACACATCAGCTGCATTAATTGGTCATATTTGAGGATGTAGGGAAGAGACCTGCCTCTTACCTTATTTAAAGTACAATCTTGGAATTGCACACAAGTGTGGGATCTAAACCTGTGCAAGCTGAAATCGTTCAAAATGAATTGGGCGGGGAGGGAATCACATTTGTTTTGACCTCTCAAAATTGTTAAAACGGTAAAATCTTTGTTGGTTGTTAGTGTATAGGGAAATGGAAAATAGTAAAACTAGTATCTATTCAGCACATTGTCATTAGAAACATC